ACAGACAACCTCTCGTCAATATGCGTTTTTTGCATTGCATTACTGCAAAAAACGCATAAAAATGGAGATTGCAAGATAATAAAAGTTAGAATTGCAAAAACCGAGTATTTCCAACACAAAGGGTGCAAAGTCTTGCGATAAATCATCCACAGTTCATGCATGAACTGGAAGGTGTGGATCTGATTTAGCAAAAAAGGCATGTTGAAGTGAGGTACTATAAAAACTGTAGAAAGTAAAATTAAAGTGCAAAAATATAAAATCATTAAAGGAATTTTTGCAAAAAAAAAGTGTGGAAAGAATTCAGAGGGAAAGATAGCCAAAAAAAAAAAAAAATCATTAAAAATTACAACAGGACAAACAGGTACTAAAGCGTATGTATATATGCAATGTTTACCAAATGCAGTTCACCCATTCCAGAGACAACTGTTTCCCTCGCTTCAGTATTATATTCCTTACGAAATGTGGGGTCTTCTTTCGTGAACCTGTTTAAAGCTTTCATAAACTTTTCACCGTCCTTATTGTTCACGCACCGAATAGACATCGAAATAACTGGTTCCGGAATATGCATCGATTCCTGAAAAAAAAAAAAACAATCAAATCTCGGGCTTAATGCCTTCTTCCCAATAGATACAGACGGTTCAAGGCTACCTGCAAACATGAGCTTGATGCGGAAATTGTACTAAAACTGTTTGGTCATTGTGCAGGAGGGGGACGGAGGACGAGGGGAAGGGGAATGAGCGCTTAAACATAGAAATACAAAGCTTACACAGAAAACGGCGTATTCTTTGTCGTCACAAAAAGTTTCGCCCGAAAAACACTCCAAACCATAAGTTGCACAAATATCGCCAGCAAAAGCGGTGTCTACTTCCTGCAAACGATCCTATTTGGCTAAAATTCGCAAATCTTTTTTTTAACGGTCAGAAAAAATGATACAAAACATGCCTTACCTGCAAAGAATTTGCGTGTACTCGAACCAATTTCTGCACTCTTACTCTCCTCCCATCTTTCGACGCATAG